CAATTCATAGTTATAAAAGCAAATTAACAAAGGATAACTAACAAAAAAATAAGCTAACGATTAATAATTAGCAAAAAAACTAGTTAACAAGAAATCACAAAAAATAGCATTGTAAAAAAACTAACAGTTAATAACTATAGAAAACAAGCTAACAATTAATAACTAGCAAAAAAAAATAATTGTTACTAACTAATAAAAAATTAGTCGATGGAAATAATTAATCCCTTAATAAACGTGCTTTTGTAGTACATATTATTTTGTTTCACATTCAAAATTATTATCACAGACTATTAACACAGTGTATTATAGGTAAGTAAACAAGTTTTAAACTAATTTTTTTTTGTGTGCCGTCAAATTTCGAAATCGTTAAAAGTGTGCCGCCACAAAAAAAAGGTTGAGAATCACTGCATTAAAATGTACTATAAAAACTTAATTTACAACGAACAAAGATTCTAACGAGCTCAGAAAATTTTCTTCTGATCGATTATAAGGATATAAATTATTATTCACACAAAAAAGTCAATGTTTAGAGAGGTATTAAAAATATATAATCTGTAAAGTATTTATTTGCCTTTAATGAACTCCTTTAGTAATTCACGAAGAAGGGAATTTTTATCGTGATTTTAATCTGCGTAGTTGATTAAAATCATGTAATAAAATCATGTTATCAAAATAATGATGATTTATGAACATTCATTAGCTAAATTAAATCTCAAACATTATTGAAATTTTGGAGTATATTTAGCCGTAATATTCTTCACTCTAACGTTTACATTTCAAAACTGCATAATAGCATTCATAAGCTTGATGATACTGGGATAGAGTTTTTATGAAAATCTATATATATATTTCCCTTACACGGCAACAAAAAAAGCCTCATTAAGTAGCAATTTTCGGGGGTTGGCGAGCGCCAGCGAGCAGTGGGTGCAGCCCACTAGTATGGTATAATTTAACATCTTGTTAAGAATACAGCAAATTAACACCGTATTAAGTTTCAATGTACAGATATTATGGTTCGATGTGGAACTTATTTACCAGAGAGAAGTGAGCACATTTAAACTGAATTAACTTAGGTCATCGAAGTTATTTGAGAATGACGTTATAAAAATATAGAAGCACAATTAGACTTTTCAGACTGCATATTTACCATTAATAAAAAACTTTTATTGATTAAATGCTTGGCAGATATTTTTGTTTTTAGGCAATGCACGTCCAATAATGTTCGAACAATCAATAGTTTTTTCAACCATTTCATTTAAAATAAAAGTTTAAAAAATGATGTATTTATTTAAATTATCTTTATAAAAACTGCTTTTAAAACAAAGTTTTATTATTTTTGAGTGTTTGAAAAGAATATTAACAAATAAAAATAAGATCTATGTTTCTAAATACTAATGGATTGATTGCTTTGTATTTTATCTTACAATCTTACTATGTTACCAACTTTCAACTGAAAACAAAAAAAAAACAGGTTTCCACGCTTTCCTCGTTGGTGATTCGTCAGGTTTTGATAACTTATTTTATATTCACAAAGTGTTTGCATAAATTGCGGCAAATTTAATAACCTCTTAAGTAATGCTGCCAAAGGACAATTTAATTACAACCAGAAGTCAACAAAATTAAAACAACGATTTAATCTGATATTTTAAATGGTGAGCTATTAATTTTCGATTTTATGTTTCATTCACGGTTCGAATCATCACTTCATCAATCACTTCATCGGTATAAACCCTCAACGTGAAAAAAAAATTTGTTTTGGATAAGTTTTGATCCTATTCTTTTTTTTAAATTTTTTTTTTTAAATTCATTTCTTTGTATTTTTTTTTGTCGTGACGATGGAGAAGAAAGCTGTCATTTCACCGTTATCGATTTATTATCAAGAAAAAGAATAGTTGAAAGCTGAGAAGAGAGTTTTATTATTTTTTCTCACATAACTGTATAAATACATTTCTTTTAAAAATATTCTCTATTTTCGAAGTAAAAAAAAGTAACTTCAATTAATCTTGTTTCATGTCTAAAAGTAAGCGTCACCTTGTCCGAAAGCACTCCAGTATGTTAAAAATATTTATGGAAAATTTATTAAAAAAAAAGTTTCCTTACACGTTAAGGACGGTGCATGAAAATAGCTAAGATAAGATTGGACATTTTGTGAAATTTCTGCAATTTATTGCATTGCGGAAATCTTGTGAATCTGGTTTCAGATTAAAAATTAAGCTTCAATTACGTTGGGAACATCCATATATGTCAAAACGTGTTTAAAGAAACTTATAAAAAAAGAGCTTATTTTGTTCAGTGTACGCTAAAGTACTGTTTATGAAAATCGTTAACGTAAGGGTAGACACTTCGTGAAATTTTTTCAATTTATTGCAATGCAGAATTCATTTGAAGATGGCTTAATCTTAAGAAGTAAGCGTAAATTACATTGAAAATATTTTAAAATTAAAATAAACAAGAAACATTTTAAAATTTAAAAAAAAAATATTTTTTTTTAATTCGAGCTAAATACAGTTCACGAAAATCGCTTACATAAGGATAGACATTTTGCAATTTTTTTTACAATTTATTGCAACGCGGAATTCATTTGAATCTGATTTCATAATAGAAATTGAGAATCTTCCTGTTTTATTACACTTTAATATGTAAATATTTGTTGATAGAAAACTTCTAAAAAACGAGCTTCTTTCCTCCATTACACGTTAAGTACTATGTATGAAAATCGCTACCACAAAAGTTTGGACACAGCGAATTTTTTGCAATTTATTACAATGCGGAATCCATTTGAAACTGGTTTCATATTATAAAGTGAGTGGCAATTACTTCATCCACATATATCAAGAGATATTTATAAAAATTATTGAAAAAAAAAACTTGCTCTCTTCACTACATGCTTAAATTCATAACATGAAAATTTCTACCATAAAGATGGACAATCTGCAAATTTTTTAAAATTTTATGAGAAGCGAAATTTTATTTATTAAAACATATTTTATGTTTAAAAACGAGCGTCACTCTGGTTGAAAACACACAAATATGTTAATAAATATTTATATAAACTTTATAATAAGAGCTTTTTTGTTCATTACAAAGTTCAGTACAATTTATTAAAATCGCTATTATATTAAAAAGTGAGATTTATATTATAAAAGTGAGTTTTATATTAAAAAGTGAGAGACAAAGTGTTATAAAGCATCCTGTTCCTTTACGAGAGATAATAACAATAAAAAAGAAGTACTTTAAACCATTACACGTTTAAGTTTTGAGTATCAAAATCACTGCCATATGTGTGGATATTTTTCCCAAATTTCTGACTTAATTGAAATTAATGCTTTACGAAAATCTGGTAAATGCTGATTGACGTTTTTCAATCCCTCCAAAAAATTATTATTAAACTCATTTCTACAGTGATTGTAACGTTATTATTGCTCGCATCTTTCACAGAAAATGTTAGGTTTTCGACCTAGCACAGATTTGGTTAATAAATAATAATCAAGTTATAAAGGTTTTCTTCTTCTGGAGCCCTATTGCTCCCATCTCCTTCATCTACACTGTTAGAAATTTATAGGAAAAAATGGTTAAATAACAATTTATTGAATGGTTACTTTACCATATTTAATCAAAACAGTCAAATAACCATAAACAAAATGGTAATCAAACTGTTATGTTTGAGAAAAACTGTTTCTTAACTGCTCTCACCTAATACGGTTAAAAAACCAGAATTTTATCGCATGAGCTAGAACCACCTAATGAAGCTACTTAGTTCTTCGCAATTGCGTACATATCATAGCCAAGTTGGCTTATCTGTCAATCTCATGACCGGCTGAACTGGAGTTCGAGTCCTAGTGTTGACACCACAATATTTCCTCCATTCCCTTCAACGCATGAAGAATTTTCACTGTCCGCCACTCTCCAAAACTCATTACCTGACGAAAAGCCGAGCTCCTATGTCTAGTTAAATGACTAATTCTTTTTTTACGTTTTTGAAAAATGCTAGTTGTAAATGGTTAAAAAACCGTATAGTTTTGTATTCATGGTTTTAGAACCATAATTTTTGTAAATGGTTTCAAAACCGTAAAGGAAAAAAAAAGTTCTTTACCGGTAACTTTACGGTTAATTGGATGGACAGACAGCTGCCAGTTATTTTGCCTTAATTTTAGACTGAAAATTTTAACAGTGTATATTCTATCAGCATCTTGTCCATAATATGATTTCTTACGAGAGAGTCTTTTTTAACTTCTTTCCTCCCCCACAACAGGGGAATGGCACTCTCCATGTCCCTCACTCACTGACCCGCGGGTCAGGGGTCGTTTAGATGCATAGGAGTGGAATCAGATTCCTGACAGACAAGTTTAGCAGACGAATGAAACATGCAATGAAAATTAAAAACTTCTTTTAAAAGGAATGAAAATGCGACAGTTTTGGTAGTAAAAAAAGCTAACCATCTTAAAAAAATAAAGTAAATGTTTATAGAATAATTTGAAGTTCCTAAACTTTATCGTTTAATATTTTATTACTATTTTAGCAACTCTGTTTACGCATGAGCCTAGCGAGATTACTTCACATTGAACTCTTTCACCTTACTAGCAATAATAAAAGAACTGTGCTTTGGCGCCATAATAAAGATTTCATTCATGAATTTATAACAATCTAAATTTACTGTCTTCCATCACGAGAAGTTCCCCTGACACCAGACTCCAGTTACTCTAAATACGGATAAGCCAGTTTGATTAGGGGTTTAACGATGTTTCTCGAAGCTCTGCCGCCAAGGAAAATAAAAAAGCCCTAGTTTCGGTGCCTTACACTTGAAGCAAATCGATGACTTTAAACTGTATAAACAATCTTGCCTTGAAGAATTATCTGGGCTTTAGAACATACTTAACTTAAATATTTTAAAAGCTATAAACTATTTTCAAAAATCCCTGATTTGGCTACATTTTCCCACCTAAATGAAAAAAATTACTGTCTTATTCTCAGTTTTTGCAAATTTTCATCAGCCCAAGTAGTGCAGCATTGGTGTATGTTTTTATCTATTAAGATTCACAGTTCTTTTTTTTAGGGATGATTCTAAAAATGCACATTTAGTTCTTAAGCATTTGATATAAATAATTTATAAGAATTCTTTGCAATCAAACTTTATTAATGCCATGTAAGTGTTTAATGAAAAATAATGATTTTTTCTTCGACAAATAATGTTTCCTTTTATACTTAAGTTCGATTTTAAAACAATTTTTCGTATGATGTTTTTATACATACAAATTTCTGAAATGAAATAAAGTACAAAACCATTGTTATAATTTATTTATAATATTCACCAAACACTTGATTCGTGCTGGTTTTATAATATTTAAATATCAAAGAACTTCAACAAAGAGCACTTAAAAATCATTTATGTCAAATTTGTTTGTTATATGCACATGGAAATGTTGATAAGATATTCTCTATTTATAGAAAAGATTGATTGATAGGGTAAACTATTGATAAAATGTAATTAGTTATAAGTTTTGAGAAACTGTTGCATATTTTCGCATTATAACTCGCAATCTAATTGTGCTTCTTCTGCTCTATAAACGCCATAGAAATAAATTATTCGTCAGTTTTTCTTATTACCTTTATCCCTAAGGAAATGAGTTAGGATAAACTGTCCTGTTTTTCTCCCCACTATAAATAAATAAAAAAAAAATCTGATTAATTTCTTTCTCAGTGTATTCATAAGAGACACGGTAATAGACATTTTATCTTTCCCTAAGGAAAAAGTTGAGATAAAATATCTTTTTGTTTTGTTAGGGTAGCTTGTGTTCCAATGTTAAATTATAGAAGGGCTCTTCATCTATATTTTCAATAAGAAGTATATAACTATGTTTCAAATTTTGAGAAAACTGCAATTAATTGCAATAATCTTGAATACCTTTTGATTTATTGATCAGATTTTAAGACACTAAGAAGCAATCACAATGATTCGCGGGATATATCTTATGTAAGCTAATTATTTATGCAAATGATGTTTTGAATTAAAAATTTAAGCCCAGAAATTTACAATGTACAGTGTCTGAAAAAAGCACCAGTGGTTTTTTTGTGCTCAAAATATAGGAGAAGGTAAATACAATAGGCAAAATATTCTTTTGGATTCTTCGAGGGAAATATAATTCTATGTAACATAATTTTGAGTATTTATTTATTATTTTCTAATTTTTTAGTTAATAATTCTTTTCTAATAATTCAGTTACTATTTAATTTAGTTAATAATTATCTATTAATGTTTCAGTCACTAAGTTTTATCACCTTATTAAATACGCATTTTCGTATGAAAAAAATCTAAAAAGTGAAAGAAATATGTCGAAAAATTCTCGAAAATGAAAGTTTAAAATGTATGTTTTAAGAACTTTTATTGTTCAAGAACTACTGGAATGATTTCTTTAAAATTTTGGAATTTGCTTCTTTAAAAGTTACATTGTTAAAAATTTAGTAAAAATTTTTATTCTTAAATATTCTGATTTTTTTAAATCATAATTGAACTAAAAAGTATAAATAACGGCATCCATTCGGTAATTTTCCCAAATAATTTTGCTGTTTTCTCACACTATTAAGAATTATTTGTGATTATTTAATTTCTCTCTCTCTCTCTGTATATATATATATATAGTGCGANTGAAAATGTAAGCTTTTCAGTCATGTATAAAACATGTATGTATGTTTTTTATTTCATTAAAATATTTTGCCTCCAAACCCCGGAGTTCTTTTATAGACACCCTGTATATATATATATAATTTTTTTTTTTACTAAAGTGGCCGGAAAGTAGTGTTAACTTTTAAGGCTTATTTTACTACAGTTCTTCCCTGAGAGATTCGCATTTGTATTGGATAACCGTTCTTTTTAAACAATTATTGCGGTTTAATTAATCTCTTTATTATTTTTAAGCACGATAAAGCGAATGCTTGTGCGGTAACGGCTGAAAATACATGGACAATTTTAAAGTTTATTTTATGTTATTTTTTTCAGGAAAGAAGATTCTTATTTGTTTTAATGAATAATAGTTTTCTTAAACAATTAAGCTGTTTTTCTCCCTTATGTAAAGTGTTAAAAATACATATTAATAAAAAAGTTTGTGCAAGGTAATGTAGTAACCTTTTACAATTAATACTATATGAAGAAAAAAAATTATAATTAGCTTTTTTTTTTTTTTTTTTTTTTTTTTTTTTTTTTTTTTTTTTTAGTATTGTCACCTGGGACGCAAATATTTCTCATGATTCTTGGCGTCATTTTGGGATTGTTCGGCCTTTATGGATTGTACAGATTTCTTAAATGGTGTGGAATAAAGCCAAGGAAGATTAATGGATGAATTATCGCCAATAGATCCCAGTGCACTAATTTGGAACAACATAAATCCTTTGTTTTTTCTCTTTCTTCAGGTCGCAAGTACAAAACAGTAATAGAATTACGTCTTTGTCACCAATTAAATGTAGTTACCCCAGATGTCTTTCATCTTCATATAAGAGACATTTTTGATGGAATTTGTTATACTTTGGTGTTAACATTCAATTCCGAATTTGAAATGATTAAAACGTAATTGTTTTCTTTAAAGTCTCTGTAAATATTCCAATGTATATAAAAATATTTTTTATGAATTTCAAATATCTTGAAATTGTTGCATGATTCAATAGATAAAGAATTATTCCTATTGTTTTTAAAGGCTTTGGGGGGAATGATCTATCAAAGTCTTATATGAACTATTGTCAAAAGAATTTTTTTTGAAAGTGAAATACTATTAGTTATTTACAAGTAGTATCGTGATTTATATTTACCATTACCGTTTTTCTGGTAGCAGAATTTGCAGCAAATTTCTGAATTGCATAATTGCATTTCTTAATTGCATTCTGCAGCATGTTTATTGTAACACTATTATTGTAAATTATCCATTAATTTAATTAATAGATGATTTAATTAATTAATTAATTAAATTATCTATTCATTAGACTAAATTATTTATTTAAGTCCATTAATTAAATAATAGACTTAATGTAGCATGTTTACAATGAAACTAGAAAATATAAGGTGGATAAAAATTATACAGAAAAAATGTTGTTAAAAATGCATTATTTGGATTAAAATTTTTATACACTTTTAAATAAATGAAATAATTGAAACTTGAAAAATGGAATTAGTCTATATTAAGTTTATAAATAAACGTTTAGAGTTTACGAAAATGTGGAATTTATATTGTATTTTAAATTTTTTATTTTTCACCTTCTCAGCTATTTAAAGAACATTATTTGGATTTTTTGAAGGACAGTCATCAATTTTCTTTTGCTTATATATATATGCAGAAGGACAACCATTTTTTTAAGAACCTGTAACAAGTAGTCAGTCATTGAGTTAGTTTAGGAATTAAAAATGAATTACAGGTTCTCGTCTCAGTAATATTTTCGGCTTGTTTAAAAAAAAAATCTTATATAATAAATAATCTCCAGTCTCTGCGATAAACGTTTCAATTCTAAATGAAAAATAATACTCTGCAGATGCCCTGATAATCAGCAGAGCCCGTTGCCGGTCTGGAAGATTTCTGCTACCGGGGCCATGTACCCCACTGATGTTATCTTAAACAATGACATGAAACTAGTATGTTCACAGCACTTGTTAACATGCTACACTGGAAGTAATAAAGTAACTGATAATGTAGGCAGTTCCTAAAGTGACCAGTGGTTTAAAAAATAAAGAAGAATCAGAAGGATATGAAAATGTACGTTTTGCTGCTTGCTGTGTTCTGCTTAGAAAAGCTGTTCCTTAATTCTCACTCAAAGTTAATTATAAGAGTCGTCTGGTACTGATTCTCAAGTTTTAAATTTAGTTATAAAACTAGTTATAAAATTCCTCAACATTGTTTCAATAAAATGTTTTCACAATAATAATTAAATTAATGCAGTTCAGTCTAATTACAAAATACACAGTTGATCCAGCAAATCTTTCGGTTGGAATAATCTTACATGCATTAGAGAACCAAGCTTCATAATTTTTCAAATAAGAAGCGCCATCTGTTGAGGGACTTTGTCTCTAATTTTCAAATTTTGAGAAAAGAAAAATGGCTGATTTACTAAGCAGAATCCTGAAACTATTTTTATTTGGCTGATTTTTAAAACCACCGGTCATTTTTGGGGTTTCGGTAAAAATATATTGTAAATCAGTGAACATGTTAAATGAAGTTAGTAGTTATTTTTTTGTGCAGTTATTTTTATTGTAGTTACTATTTTTTATTGTAGTTACTACTTTTTATTGTGGTTATTTTTTAAATGTGTCACTTACGTTCAATTTCATAGTTTATTTATTTTCAGTACTAATAATTCACTCGTTTCTAATGCCATAACGTAGCTTTATATTTATTAAACTAACGGGTGTTAATCGGATACCACAAATATTAAAATGGTGGATTTTAAATAAAAGAGCTCCTTGTTGTTGCTGTAAAACGTTACGATATATAACTGCATAATAAACAACTAATATATTAAGATGTTTAAAAATAAACATTGCATTTAATTTATGAAGTCAATACAGTTTGTTTTAGTGCAATATGGGGTTCTTAAAATTAACAGGATAAATTATAATTGTACAGTATAAGAAATACGACAAAAATAGTGGACCGAAAAGGAATGTAGCATAAAATATAGACCTCAAGCAAAACTTTTCTAGATTTTGAGGGTTTGAATACGAATATCTTACTGATTTTGAGGCAACTTAAATGGTTTCTTACAAAAATTTTTCTTAATGTCAAAGTGGGTGGTGAAATGTTAAAGTATGTGCCTCTTTCATGAAATCCCAGGCTCAAAATCGACGGTTGACATTGTGGCGTAACTACCACTATAAATATTAAATACCGATTCACTAGTATATAAGACAGGTTAACTTGATTCCATCTTGAGGTACCTTTTGATGGATGAAGGTTGACACAGTCGATAATAGAATCCCCTTATTGGTGACCTCCGGACGTGATAAGAACATGCCAACACTGATGGATAGTCCACATAAAAGACAGTTGATTTGCTTAAAAATATACTGCTCAAAGAAAAAGAAAAAAGAAAAGAAATCCGGTGAAGTAAATAAAGTCTTCCGGTCAATAAACAAAAATGAAGAAAAAAATAATGAGCTAAATGCTATCAGCAAAAATGAAGAAAAAAAAACAATGAGCGAAATGCTATAAACCAAAAAAAAAAAAAAAAAAAAAAAAAGTGAAGAAAAAATATGAGCAAAATGAAATATATAAAAAAAGAAGAAAAAATACAGTATGAATCAACTAGTGGTATCCGTTCATCGAATTCCATCACAGATAAAATTCTGGAAGGGGAGTAATGTGGCGTAACTACCACTATAAATATAAAATACCAATGCAATAGTATATAAGACATGTTAACTTGATTCTATCTTGAGGTACCTTTTGATAGATGAAGGTTGGCATAGTCTATAATTAAATCCCCACAATATAACCACATCAATCATCACCACGTCAACCAAGAAATACATTTTGCTGATTATTTAATTTGTTTTCTTAATTTTTGCTGTTTATACTTGTTAGTTTTTCTTTCTACCTTATAAAATGCTCTTAAATTCATGTTTTGTATCATATTTTTACGAAATAGTTGATTTCCTCATAAACTTAACGTAAAAGTTAAAATTGTTACTGACCAAAAGAAGTACACCTTCATGGATCAGTAGTTAATTTTGAAATTACTTCAATATTCTATTCTTTATCGGAAACTAAAAAATATGATTGGCAAAAATTTTAAAGATTCGATTTCATTTATTAAGTATCCTTAATGCGCATGTCTAGTTTTCTGAATTAAATTAAGGAGCAGGTGGAAAATGAACAGAAAGAAAGAGAAACCACGAAAATAAATATTCCGACTAAAATCAATATGATAGTTAATACCTCACAAAACAAATCGCGCATCGCAACAGCACGTTTTTCCTAATGAGCCACCGGGACTCACGAATGTGGTAAGCTTTTTTTTTCTATTTTATGCATCAAATTGTTTTAAGGAGGGGGATAACTTACGTGATCTCAATTTAAGTAACTTACTTGAATATTTCAAAATATGTAAAAAAAGTTTCGTTTGATACTAAGATTTTTTGTTACACTAGGAGCCATTTTTTTATGAAATGGTTTAAATATTAGTTTAAAAAGCACATATTGTGTAGTAAACAGTTATCTTATTCTAAGCATCTAAGTTTAACAGTTAAAACAGTTAATTCCAAACAGTTAAAGTTACAAACAAAAATAATTTATGAGTTTAGGGGTTATTTGCTGTTGTTTGTAAAATGTGTAAATAAATATGTTAAACTGTATGTATATTGCTATGCGAATGGAAATTTATACTTCTAATTATGTTATTATGCAGATGAATTGATGCATTTAGTCTTATTGGAAATTATTATTACTATATGGTAGCGGAAATTGTTCTGCATAATATATATATATTTACAGAACAATTTCTTTTAAATAATGTTGCCTAGTTTTGATACATTAGTTGACTCTCTAAGAAATGGAAGGTAGCAAAATTATGTACAACATGTAGCACTTTAAATCACTTGAATTGTTTAAAAAATATTTATAATATGTTTAAGAAACACATATGAAAAAGTTTTACCACAGGATCTGAAAAAACGAATATTACTTGCCTTTTTCGCGATTGATAGCCATATCATGAAAATGTAAAAATGTTTCGCGTGACTTTTATATATCTTTAGATAAGTTCTTTATCAAATCCCTTGTGATGTTCTATTTATGCAAAATAGTTTCTAATCAACAGACAAATTTTAACTAATAAATTTAAAATATGTAAATTCAACACGAAGTAAAATAATAATTATTTTAATTATGTGGCATTTTTCCTCTAACAACCTTCAAACAACAGTTCTGCTGATACTAATAGATATTTATAAAAACTAAAATAAACTGCATTTTGTTAAAAATTATATAAGTTAAGAAATAATTGAAGATTAAAAATTATTTTTATGCCATAAGATAAAACTAAAACTCTCAAATAAACTAGAGATAAAATTATAAAACAAAATGATTATGTTTTGCACTGGTTTTTTCATGAACTTGCCAAAGAAGTCTATGGTAAATCTAACATAAATCTAGACATTCCTAATTACGTCACATTTAGCTCAAATTTCGAATTGATGTTGTTTCTAACTTTCTTATACCAATCTGCTAATTGTACCAAAATGTTTTTATAGAAATTTGTTCATTTTCTCTTACTAAATGAACCGAGCTTCCTTAACGAAAAGGAAACTTTAAAAACTTTTAAGTTCCGATTGTAGTAAATGCTTCTTTAAATGTCATAAATTTTAGAGCTAACACAAAAATGAATGGACATTTAGCATTCAGAATGCTTTAAATGTAAGAGAACATTTCACAACGTTTAAAACACGTCTTTATTTACAAAAACTTCCTCATTTCCTCATTAGTTATTCTAAGAGCTTTTAAAGTGTGACACAATAAAACGTTTCAAATCGTCAAATGAAAAGTATGAAAACGTTTTCAAAGGTCCCTGAAACGTTTTTATCTACACTAGAAAGCTTAGAAATGGTTATTTTTATATAGTTAGTATAATGCCGTTTTTTTCCTTTAAAACGTAGCACGTTTAAAATAGTTTTAAATGAAATGCACTAAAATGTCTCTTTACAGTACAGAAATGCTCAAGTTATGAGGCCATTTCAAATTCTTTTAGTTGAGTTTTTAAAACATAAAATGGAGAAAACGTTTCAAATTATTGCATTTGCTATGGCGTTGATGCGTCAAAAATACTGTACAGCAATTTATTTATTAGAAAGTTAAGATTGGTCAACTTATTTGTAAAGCAATTAATTTTTTGTTTCGTTTCACAATTCAAAGATTAAAAAGGAATGGATATCTTAACATGAAACTCACAATATTATTTTACTATTTTGCTCTTCCTACAGTTTTTGAAATGGTCTTATTTGTTTTAAAATGTTAAAAACAATTATTAAAAGTTAATTACATTCTAATCAATCCTTTGCTTTGAAATTTAAATAAATCTAATACTTTTTAAATTTTATCTTTCAATAACCAAAGAAAAACACACAAAAAATGTTTACGGATAATTAATTATATCTTCAAAGTTTTGGCGAAAATAAATACTCTTCAGCTTTGTTGGAGAGTAACATTTAAAGCACCTTTCTTCCTAGCTACAATTGAAGAAGACTTTCTTTTGGACAAAGAATGTGTTTGTAAGATTTAATTTCCCATAATATAACAACGAAACAATATTTTAATAAAATAAAAAAAAAATGCACAACCTTCATCTACGAATTATCTAACGAATTATTTAGGCGTGGGCATATATGGCAACGTTACTTTTAAAAAGTAACGAGTAAAAGTACAAGTATTTTTAAAAAAAGTAACGAGTAAAAAGTAAAAAGTTCTTATTTTAAAAANAAAAGTACTGCCATATATGGGCGTGGGTAGATAACTATGATTTCTCAGAAGTATTGATGTCAAATGCATTTAAATATCGTATTGATGTTTCTTTGAAGTAGTATTAAATATTTCTTAATTATTCTTGGGAATTTATAGCAACAGATTTGTTAGAACTATTTAAATGTAGTTAATTGTTTGTTAGTCATCTGAATTTTCTAGTTTAGCTGGAAATGTAGAAAATTGAGCCACTAACTATAGTAAGAGAAGAATTTTTAATAGCTATATTAAATTTCCTCTAAAAGCTACAGAAGATTAAACGTTTTAACGTAAAGTTGTAATATCAGAAAGAAATGAATATTTTGGATTTATCCTTACATATTTTTCTACAAATGAGGACCAATATTTGATTCAGTGTAAATTTTCAATAATGATATTATATATTATTATTGACTGAAGCTAATTTTGTTCTTTAGACTTTAAAAGAGTTGTTTGTTTTTAAATAGTATGATACTTATTAGACTTAAATAGATGTATCAATTTATGTGTGTAATCTGATGCAACCAGACTAATGAGATGTGTTCGTTCTTACATCATAGTGAAATTTTTTTTGTTGTAAAATTTAAATGCATTTAAAAAAAAAGATATTTAAAATTTATATTATTATTATTATGCTTGTATATATTTATGAAATAATTGCTTAAGTTAAACTGCAATTGATCCAGCTCAACTAGTCTGTGTTTTGATGTTAGATTAAAATGAAAATAATAAGTAATAAAGTAAAGTAATTAGTAAATAAATGGTGGTAATAAACAATTAATAAATAAGTTCGATAAGTAAAAAGTAAAAATAGAACATGTTAAAGTTCGAGAGTTTTTAAGTGCGTTTCATAATTAATATATTTAATTTGTATAAAGTTAAAAAAATCATGCATTTTGATTAATTTTTTGAAGTATATAATCTTTTTCGAATGCAACAGTAATAGGACTCGTGCCTCAGAAGGTAGGTTCTGGAATTTTAGTTTATAATACTTTATTTTGTAAAGTTTCTATCTTTATATATACCTCANATATATATATATATAAAAAATATACTATATATAATCAATGTTATTGATTTTACAAAATTACGAGTTTTGTCAAGATTGTTTAAAACCAAAGTAATCAATTTAGACTGTTTATAAAGTAAATACAGTAAAATCTTGACTTGAAAAACCGAATGAAAATAATTAAATCAATAAAAAGGGAATTTAATAAAGAAATAAAACTTCTTTTTCTCCTTAACACAGTGATTATATTCTCAACATTTAGACATTTCTAAGTAAGAAAAAACATTACACAGAAATTAACAGAACATATTCAGTATGCTTGATTTTAACTTTGTTTATATTGCCGAATAATTTATTTAATAATTAAGTTATTTTTCTATTCATTTCCCATCTACTCATTTGTACAATGATTAAAAAATATTAACAAAATACAATTTTAAAGAATAGCAATTTTCTGACTTTTTAGTGTTAAGTAATATAAAATGAACCCTGAAAAATATGAAATTTATAAAAAATGTTTTTCACTTTGAAACACTAG